CCCCTCTCCCCCCCCCCCCCCCCCCCTTTGTTTACTCCCACAGGTGAGCACCTGAGCCTGAACATCTTTGAGCCGCGGTATCGCCTCATGGTCCGGCGCTGCATGCAGGGCAGCCGCCGCTTCGCCATGACCAGCCGCCGGCACCCGGGCCGCGCCTCGGACGAGCTCTGCTCCGCCGCCTGCGAGGTGGAGATCACTGAGTGCGTGGCGCAGCCGGATGGCCGCTTTGGCATCCACGTGGTCGGCCGGCGCCGCCTGCGCCTCCAGGGCGTGCAGGACATCGACGGCCTCCTCTACACCACTCCATCCGACCTGCGAGACGGCGCGACCTCAGAGCCACCCTCGCCGGAGCTCCGCGCCCGCGTGGCGGAGGTGGAGAGGCGGGCGCAGGCCTGGATCGACCGCCTCCAGGAGCTGGTTGAGGTGAGAGGGGAGAGGGTGGAGGAGCTGCTCTTTGTGCCTTCTGCTTTCTTCTTCTGATGGAGCGACCTGGGTTCTGCACCACCCACTGCCACCCTCATGCCCCCCCGCAACTGCCACCCTGACCTCTGGGCCCCCAGCACTCGCCGGGGCCCTTGTCCACTCATCCTCGGACGCTCACAATACCCTCACTCCCTGCCTTGCCTCCCCTGTCTAACCCCATTCAGAGCAAGCCTGGTCTGCGGGCACTTCTGGATGCGGCGTCAGACAGACCGGAGCCCGGAGATCACGAGGCCCTCTCCTTCTGGGCGGTGCGTCTGTCAGGCCAGCTCTACTCCTGCGTCGCCAGGGTGTCCGTCTCTGGTCTGTCTTCCTCATCCATGCATGGGGGGACTTTGCCGCATCCGGCCTGCATGGGCCTGCCTGTTCCCACGACCCTGCGTTTCAACCCTCCTCTTCGACCCTGGCGCAGGCGGGGCTGGTGGTCCGGCTGTCCGACAACCCTGCCAGGTATCGCCGGGAGATCATGGAGATGGAGAGCACGCTGGAGCGCCTGACCCTGGCCTCCAGCCTCTTGTTTGCCGCGCAGAAGAAGATCATGGGTGGGTGCTGCATCAGCTGAGGTGGGGGCGCTGCAGCAACAGTCCATGGGGAGGCTGCGACAACAGCAGATGGGTGCCTCCACGACACCCCTCGGGTCTCCATCCTGGTGCTGGATAAGTACACGCGCTCCACCACGACTCGAGTTCGATTTTTCCCACCCCTTGTACATCAGGGCCGTGCCTGCAGCCAATGTCTCCCTTGCAGAAACTGTTGAAGACTGCCTCGTTCTCATCATCGTCGTCGTGGAACTATCTATCATCTCCTGTGCACCCTGCAGCGTCGTAGTGTATGACTTGCGTCTCCCCCTGATGTTTACCCCTATTATTCAGTTTGATCAACCCGGTGCTATGGGCGGAAACTGTTCGGATCTCTTGCTATGTGCTGTTGTGAAGGATAATGATGGTTGAGGAAGGTGTCGGGTGCATGTGGTTTCAATAATATGAGCATAACCAAAAAGAACAAAAACAGTTCGTCACGGGGACTTCCCACGTGGTCACCCACCGCAGTACTATTCCCGCCCAATCCAGCTTAATTACCGAGGTCTAATGGGATCGGATGTGTTCTGCGACAGCCGATGGGTGCCTCCATGACACCCCTCGAGTCTCCATCCTGGTGCTGGATAAGTACATGCGCTCCACCACGACTCGAGTTCGATTTTTCCCACCCCTTGTACATCAGGGCCGTGCCTGCAGCCAATGTCTCCCTTGCAGAAACTGTTGCTCCGAAGACTGCCTCGTTCTCATCATCGTCGTCGTGGAACTATCTATCATCTCCTGTGCACCCTGCAGCGTCGTAGTGTATGACTTGTGTCTCCCCCTGGTGTTTACCCCTATTATTCAGTTTGATTAATCCGGTGCTGTGGGCGGAAACTGTTTTGATCTCTTGCTATGTGCTGTTGTGAAGGATAATGATGGTTGAGGTAGGTGTCGGGTGCATGTGGTTTCAATAATATGAGCAGAACCAAAAAGAACAAAAACAGTTCGTCACGGGGACTTCCCACGTGGTCACCCACCGCAGTACTATTCCCGCCCAATCCAGCTTAATTACCGAGGTCTAATGGGATCGGATGTGTTCTGGATGGTATGAACGAACCATACGCAGGATG